TCATAAAAACAAAAATGATACACTTGTACATGAAACAGTAGGTAATGAACTGTAAATGTGGGCGGTTGCGCTGTCAGGCGAGCGAGCGAGCGAGCGATTGCGCGAGCGGATACTTCCGGATTTGCGCGGTCGGAAAAAAAGCGGAAATTGCGCGGTCGAATTGAACAAAGCGAGCGAAAAAAAAGCGATCGAAATCCGGAAGCGGGCGGGAGGTTCGGCGAAATGAGTACTGTATGGTAATTTTAACACGTTGGCATCATCTATCATTTTGATTGGTTAATTAGCAATTTGACCTGTCAGGTCAAAGAACACAAACAATCCCAGGTCAAAACATGGGGGATATTCATTTCTACAGCATCGAGCGTTTAAAATACGCTCGGAATCATTTGCTTCCGATGAAATAAGTTGAAACTTATTTGAATTTCATAATTCAACAAATTTATTTTTTCCACATTATTATAATCGCTAGTAGGTAATTTGCAACAACAATTGTGAAACGCAGCATGACTGGATTGCGCTACTGGATCATTAGATACAAAACAATACAGTTGGGTTTGTTTTCATTTGAAACTTATCATGAAATGAACAAGTCTGAGAGAGGTCAATATGTATAGGTATAACATCAAAGCAATTGGACTTGTGGTTTTTAACAAGAAGTCGAAAATATTAGAGAATTGAAGACATCATGAAAATGAATAAAATTTTAGATATAGTTTCTTTGGTTTTGGGTGGTCCAACTGCCTGTGTTGAAAGTAGAATGATGTAGGAGGTATAGGGCATGCTCTGTTCCTACAGCTTTAAACAGTTTCAGAATGGGAACACAATGAATATTAATACATATAGTCTCAAGCAGTACACCATTGGTGGTCAAAATTGTTACCAACATGTTTTCTTCATTGAGATGGCAAGACTACATACCTAATGATATTTTCATACTCTCTGTCTCTTCCTTTAGATTCTTTCCACTTGCGATACATCACTGAAGCATCCACATTTGCTGGTGAAAATGTGTTTGGTTCATTCAAAAGAGATATTACACTTAATAAAATAGTTCTGCAAAGTTGAAAAAATAATGAAAACATGAAGTACAAAAAAAACTTGTGAAATGAAACTGGGCTACAGTATTCCATGTTTGGTGGACAAATTAGGAAAAACTGATTGAACTGACTGTATCATGTATCAGAAAAATGCTAAGGACAATGACAATTTCCCTCAAAATGACAATGAACGATACCAAAAGCCTCAGAATTTGGTATTGATTAAATGATGTCTGACTGTCAAATTTTTAACAGCAACCCAAGTTCCCTCACTCAAATCATTTGGAAACTGTCAATTTTTGATTTGCAAAACTTCTGTGCTTAAACGCCTGAGAACACCAGTCTCAAAATTAAATATAAAACATAGTTGAACTCTGGTGACCTTGCCCTATGTTATATAATATTATTCCCTTATCATAGATTGTTTCAATATAAATATGCATTGTCATAATTAATTTTGAATACAAACAAGTTTTGAGGTTGAACCAACAGCAAGGAATCAGTCTAACTAATGTCCTTGATAGATGTAAATATCTTACAAAAACATTGGTGCCTCATTTGTTTAATTATATTAAGGGACATAATTTCCAGCCTTATTCAAAGTAATTCAGATATTTTAATATGAAAACAAATGTCTCATCACAGAAAAAAAGTGCTGCATTTAGATGCAAGGTAACAGAAAATCTTAGCTGGCTTTTGTCCAAGTATTTTGTACAGGTGTATGTCAAAAATTAATGATTCACCGAGACAAATATGAACTGCCTTAGTATATATTCATTGTGTGACTATTGTATTATATTAAAAGTAAAAAAAAAAACACCCTTTATGAATAGCTATCATGTTGCAAGAGAGAGAGAGAAGTCAACAGTACTGTTGCTTCCTAAGAATCTACATCTTCAAACACTGCAATCTTTGTTTTTGAAGTGCGTTTTTAAATTATTATTATAAAAGCTCTATTATTCTGTTCTAATAGCTGAAACAAATTCCTGTGAATTTTCATTTGTCAAATGAACTGTTTGTCAAATACAGAATACATATATTTTAGAACAATTTTCTTTTCAAAATGTGGATGCAACGTTTTTCTTTTTATGTATTTTTTATGTATTGTTTTTGATTTGATAACTTTGAACAGATTTTCTATTAGCTTCAGTTCTTGATCAAAGTTTGGCACCCAGTTCATAGGAGTTTTCTGTAAAGATTTTATTGGTAGGTTTGCAAATCATTTCAGACTATGCAAAAAATCTCCATGAGTTGGTTTTGAAACCCGGTATAGTATTCCCATGGAACTTGGGAGATACATTACCAAGTATATTATTACAAGTTAAATGATTTGCTTCATTGAACACAAACAATGCATATTTCCAAGGTAAAAAGTATCATAAAATGTCAGTAGCTATATTTTTTCAACACAACATACCTAACATTTTGTGTTGGATTCCACCTTTCGGATGGTAACTCGCCACTCTGTGGGTCATCAATTGGTGGATGTAGAATTGATATGCATAGATCACCATTCTAGGAGAGAAATTAAATACATTCAGCATTAAATTTTACACAACAGATTTTTAAGTATTAGAACATGACTTGAATATTACATGCAACATGACATTAGCATCCAATTAGACTGACCCAGTCATGGCAATTTTATTGTTTTATATGATAATTAAAGAACAAGTTTGAATCTCTTGCGTTGACACGAAATTTCCATGACTGTTCTGCAAGACTTTCAAGATGTCAACATGTTTAGAATATGGTAATGATAGCATTAATCATAAGCTGCCAGCCAATAAGACTACTTTCGGACTGTAATGCAAATGTGACTGAACCGAAGTACACACCTACTTTCCTCATTTGGAAGTGTTCCACTCCCAAGTTCCGTAACGTCACATTATGAATAATTAATAGCAATTAATACACCTCAGAATAGACCAGTCGTGGTATTTGGACCAATATTTAAGAAAAAAATTTTAAATTGTCTATCATGTTTTGATGTTTGTGACCTAATGCACAAATGATCAGAACCATTGATAGCACATGTAATATGTCTCAGCAATCAGCAGCTGACTGCTAATTTCTTCAAAGCAGCTACAAAGGGGTAATTGTGATTAGGGCATTGCTTGACAGTTGCAAATAACTGACATTTTCAGAGAGCTGAGGTATAGGAGAATACAATCTTGTACTTTTTGTGTTGAGTTTTTTGCAGGACTGGTCATTTCTTGCCGTTTGCATATCTCTACCTTTAGCCTTTGACACCCAATCATGACATGATGTCAGTACCAAACAAAGGTCATTTACTTAAATGATTAATAAATGACATGCCCATATTTGTCAACTGGCGGGGATTCCAACGCCACAGAACCATGTGTAGGCATTTGCCATTTTTGTTGTATTTCTTGATATTACATTTTTGAGGTGGCGGAAATTAATGTACAAGTACTGTAGCTGTGTTGAGATTGTTGTGCTGGTAGATAGATAAAACACCCTGAAACCGTAGTATTTTCATTGTTTGAGCAATATATTATTCACTGGCACCTTTATCAGCAATGGGATGTTTTCTTATCAGGAGGCATATGAATTTTGCAATTTTAACATGATCACAGCAGAAATGGCGACTCCAGAAAGATCAACAGTATATGTCCTGATGACTAATGTACATGTTTATGCAACTTGTGTGCATCTGGTCAACCCAAACATCAACAAGCCATGCATGGCACAGTCCCCGTTATCAAATTTAAGATATATAGCTTTGTTTATAGTAATATAGCTGGAATTTAACCATTTCAGGAATATGATTACTGTAAAAAGTTGATTAATTTGCGGTCTCTATTAATTCATGGACCCATTTTATTTTCGAACCCTAATTTTTAAATGTATCCTTTTAATTCGCGGCGTTTAAAAACATGTTTAAAGTGGTATTCTATTAATTCGCAGGGCAGAATAAAGTGGATAACTCAAAATATATTGCATGAAGACATTAAAAATATACATTTTGTTTGAGTTATGTTATCAGTACTTGGTGTAGCCGCAATCGCAGATGATCTCCGTCATCACAGCTTAGGTTCGGTCAAGATTTGACCTGCAAGAAATCCCCCACGACACTACATATGTTGGGCAAGATTATTACTTAGTCGATAAATATCGATCGCTCAGCACATCTATTACAAATTTCCGTGATGGAAAGCCTAGTACAGGGCTTTTCGTCACTGGTCCACAGGGTTGCATCGACCATGTGTCCGCCATTTTGGAAAGTGATTTTATTCTATGATGTCATTTAAGTGAACCGCCCTATGGTGCGTAAATTGATGTTTTTGATTGGTCGGGCCATTAACCACATGTCACATTTTCATTATACCGAATATTGTGAAAAACACAGAGTTAAGCGGTCATGTACGTTCTATAAATCTAACCTTGCACACATAATCTTGTACTGACGTGTTTTTTTGTCCAAGAAAGACGTTCCCTTTTATTTAACCCCTAGTTAACTCTTTGCATCCATGATATTTGTGAGAGTCAGGGTTCTCCACATTTTGAAAATTAAACAGGGCGCGCCAATGTGAAGTGGGCGTGGCACATTTGTAACGTAAATCACTGGCAAGGATGTTGAAAAATGGAAACAAAGAAATCTATTAATCTACACATTATTCCATATGCATAATATATATTTATTATTACAAAATAAATGAGAATTTTGAAGAGCTATTATTAAGTAAACGTCAGCACGTACAATCAGCTGATTTTAGCTGCACGATTCATCAAGCGGTGACATCACTTGTTTACCAGTAATGATCACGTCCGGAAAAAGACGTAACAAGTTTGTTAATTTATTTTTCCAAATAGATACATACATGCTTTATTTAATTTTTAGCCAAAATTTATATTTATGATTTATATTTATTTGGACGAAGCAAAATAAAATGTATGATGTCGCACAAACGTTCGTAATTGGTTCATTAAAAAAACTTGCATGAATGGCACCAAAAAGAAAGATGATCAAACGAAACAAAATGTACACAATAGAAAATTTTCGATCTGCAGTTAATAGTTACTATCAAAAATAATATAATTAGGTATAAAAAACAAAATACATACTTAAAAGAATAATTTTCATTTGAATCGAAAGTTTGTTGATGTCTGCTTCGTTGACAACAAACAGCTATGACCCGGCCGGAAACATTTCATTTTACTGTGTGCACCCTGATACTATGTAACGATACTTTTGATTGGCTAAAGCCACGCATTGACGCGAAAAACAACCAATCAGAATATTTGCTCCAAGAAAAACACAAATAAATTTATTTCCTCCACTTATGATGCGAGTTGAAAGCATGGCCGTTTTACCAGGGTTTTTAAATCGCGATTTAAAGAAAATTCAACTTTAAATAGTGACATTTAAATATAAACATTTGCATGTTCAAGCAAGCATTCGTGTGGACTTCTTGGTTATCAGCAATGTCTGTGATGGTACGTCGGCTGCCGATCATGCAAGTGCATAACTGCCTTTGTTCCACTCGGCGGTGACGATGTTGCCGCTACAAGTCACGGCATGAGCTTGGTTTTAACTATAGACCTTAGAGGGTCTATGTTTTAACATATGGTTTTACCGATAACGATTTTATATATTTGACGTCACCCTGGCAGTAAAAATGTGGGTACGGTAATGCACTTTTCTAGGCCACATGTTCATTTTTAATCGTGTTGAAAACACTTTTTTCGGTGGTGTTATCACCTCACGGTGGCCTGCTATGACAACAAGCCAGAATTTTCACAGTTATACCTTAAAACAATGAACCAGTTACCCTGAGCACGATGAATCATTTCGAAGATAATGAGTGTTGGCCTGTTTTGTAAACAATTCTTTGTAAGGGACCATGCAGGGCGCACAGGAAATATAACAAGGCGCTGACAATTTAAACAAGGCACCATTTTCAGATAACAGGGAGCGGCGCCCTGTTGAAACCCCTCGTGGAGAACACTGAGAGTTGAAAGATTTTTTGAACAAATGACAAGTAACTACATGTATATTGATTTGCATCAAGCTGAGTGGCCCGAATTTAAATATCAGTACATGAACTCTGGAGGTCATTGCCCAATGTCACATGTAAACGCATGATTATTAGAGTTCAGTTGAAATGTATGTGAATAAATGCGATCAAAGTGCGCTGCCCAGTTTATTATATTATAGTAAAATTTAATTTTACATATGGTATGTTTATGTTTGTGTAATTATTATGAATGCACTGCATTATCAAGACTGTGATATTGAAATATTCACAGACCCAAAAGCCCGGGTCAGTGCCCTAACAATAAAAAAAACAAAAAAACTAATTATCATGAAAGCAATACATTACGAAGTTGAAATATTCAGAGCTGGTACAATATTGTAAACAAATTTGCGTAATTAAAAAAGCAGTGCACTAAGTAAACAACTTTGATATATTCAAAGCCAGTACGTAGTTGCATACAAGTTGCGTAATTACAGTACCGTTGGATATATTAACAATTTTACTAGATTGATGCGCAGGGACTTGAGGTCAAACTTCAGTCAACACACACTTGATGTCAGCTTCGTTGCATAGAAGTTTTGCAAATAAGTACTTGAAGTTCAATTGCGTCCCAAAATGATGTCGCTGATCACTCAGTTGATGCGCAGCGTGTGTTGTGTCATGTCCATGATGCACCCTGTTTCGTCTTTGGCTTGCTTTTTCTTCTTAGTGCATGTTCTTGTACACGTAAAATGCAACACTTTGAATTTATACTTTGCGCGACTATATTTGGTCAACGCGAAACATTATTTTTCCTAAACATTTTCTGAAACCATTTTTATCAATGCAGGGTTATTTGTCCAGACAAGACTGGCTTCGTAATATCTGCCATAACATTGCCTGGGCGATCTGTTGGTCCACATTTTTCTAAACAAGCAGCCAGTCGGCTGAGATAGCTCCGCTGTTAGCAATGCACATTTCAATTAAAGAACAAAAGATATCATTAGACAAGAGTTGGCAGAGCCATCTCGATGCTGGGAAAATAAGTGTGTTTTGGAGCAATGGATTGGCGAACAGACAGAAGAGCAATTTCAAAGACTTTGACTTTGTTTTAATGAAAACTTGAAGTATACATGAGGGTACGTATTATTTATTTATTTTGGAAACTCAATTTTTAACTGAAGGAATTAAACTAAATTAAATAATCATGTTAGAAATGACTACTGTTCAACTCCGGACGTTTAATTGTACTTAGCGTATGTTGCTATGACAATCAACCAATTCGAGAAAAACAATCGACAATGACTAAATGCATGGTCACAGCCAAATCGCTGTTTAATTGAAATAAAAAAAAATCTAAGATCAAAGAAAGCTTAGAAAGAACTCCCATGTGCTGAGAGTATTGGAGACACATTAAATATAATTCGAAATTACTTAGCTGAAAACTAATTATGCAAATCAGAAAATTAATATGACCAGATTTGAGTGTAAAACTAATGAGGTCTGCGCAATGTAACAGAAAATCTGTCTCCA